AGATTTAGCTTAGATATAAGTAAAAAATTCTTCCCCATGAGAGTGGTGAGGCACTGGCACAGGCTGCCCAAGGAGCTGTGGATGCCCCATCCCTGGCGGTGTCCAAGGCCAGGTTGGACAGGGCTTGGAGCAACCTGGGCTGGTGGGAGAGAGGTGTTGGGAACAACAAAATCAACACACAAAATCCGATTTTGTTGTTTTAAAGGTAGAGAATTAACACATCTCCTTGAAAGGAAGAGGTTTGACATTTCAAAGCAGCAGCATGAAAGCAACTCAAGGTTATGTGGGCAGACAAGCCACCATCACCACGTCCATGTCAGAAATGCACCTGCTCAATCAGAATGAAACGCCAGCCAAGCCAACATGAATCTGAGCCAGCCAGCCTTGTAGGAATTTAAAGAAAGAGTCCCTCCTGCAATTTTCATCGACGGCTTCTGCAGATAAGGCAGCAGGCACGGCCCCGCACGGGGTGGAGGCACCAACACTTACGGAGCTGATGAAAGCCAGCCCATTGGGAAGTATTTCAATGTCTTCTGAACCAGATTCTGCAAGACAAATAAGAGTTTTTCAGATGATATTTAATATTTCCCACCAAAAACCCTCCTTCTCCGTGCAATTCCAGCTGCCACGATGTCCCTCGCTGGTGTGAGTGCAGAAGTTGGTGCCGGGTTGGAAGGGGCAGGAGAAGCAGCAGCTCTGGGAAGGGCACACACTCACCCTCCTGCCTGAGCTGGGACACTTCGCCAAGCTGGGTTGGCAAATATTTAGTTAAAGCTCTCAAGTGACTGAGAATCGACTATATTTTTAATAAATGGCTAAGGGCTTGAACGGTCAGACTACGCTCTTAACTGCACGTAATCATTGACAGTATTGCCAGCTCCTTTAGTTCTCATCGTATTTTTCCCAGCTGGGAAAATGAAATAAAATGAAATAAAAAATGAAATAAATAAAATTAAATGAAATTAAAAATGCATAACTAAAGTAAAATAAAATTAAATTAGATAAACCAAACCAAAATAAAACAGAATAGAATGAAATAAAATAAAAAGCAGGAGGGGTGTGGAGAGGTGGGATAAGCGTGAGCTGCTTGTTTCAGCTCAGCCCACACCCCAGCTTCAGCTCCTTTTCTTTGTCTCAGCTCTTGGTTTCTCCAAATCTGGGTTCATTTCAAAGGTGGGGTTAGCAGCGATTCCCCACTTGCTGGGACTGCTGCAAAGATAACGACACAAATAAATGCCGCCAGGCTCAATTCCCACGGCGATGTGGGCTGGAGAGACAGCAAGTACCGGCAGAGCGCTGCTGTGAGTCAACAGAGATATCATCGTTTGTCATTGCTCAGTGGGGAGGCTGCCACGCAGAGAGATGAGCAGGCTGATGGGGAGCAGGTGATTAAAAAGTACAAGTTTCTGGTGCAAGGAGCGGAACAAGAGCCCTGCACCCAACTACGTCACAGAACCGTAGAGTCGTAGAGTCACAGGATGCTGGAGTTGGAAGGGACCTCTGGAGCTCACCCAGTGCCACCCCCTGCAAAAGCAGGGTCACCCAGGGCAGCCCCACAGGAACATGTCCAGGCGGGTTGGAAAGTCTCCAGAGCAGGAGAGGAGAAGAACTTTCTCCTCATGTTGAGGTGGAACTTCCCATGTTCTAACTTAAACCCATTATTGCTTGTTCTATTGCTGGGCACCACTGAGCAGAGATTGTCCCCTTCCTCCTGACCCCCACCCCTCAGCTATTTCTCTACATTCATAAATCCCCTCTCAGCCGTCTCCTTTCCAGGCTGAACAGCCCCAGGTCTCTCAGTCTCTCTTCCCAGCAGAGATGTTCAGTGCCTTGATCTCCCTCGTAGCTCTCCCTTGGACTCTCTCCAGTAGGTCCCTGTCTCTCTGGCACTGGGGAGCCCCAAACTGGACACAGCACTCCAGGGCTGATCTCCCCAGGGCAGAGCAGAGGGGCAGGAGAACCTCCCCAGCCCTGCTGGACACACTTTTCTTGATGCTCCCCAGGATGGTGTATTCCACAGCTGCATGTAATCAAAAAAAAAAGGAAAAACGCCACCTGTATTTCATGTCCAAAAGCCAGTGATTTTTTTTGCCTACATCCCACACATTGTTCCAATATGTATTTCTAGCAATTGCCACTCATTGTTCCAAGATGTATTTCTAGCAATTTCCACAGTAGCTTCTTGAACTTTAGGAATGAGAGGACATACAGTTAGTTTATTATAAACCAGTAACATGAGTAGACACTCATATAACTCAGAAGATACTGTCTATACAGTGTTTTCTACATATCTGCGAATTAGGTTAGGACAAGCTGCAGTTTTTGATTGGTTTGTGTGCACCTGTGCTTACATTGCACAATATTTGAAAAACAGAATAGATCAAAGTCTTAAAAAAAAGAAACAGAGGCCAAAGATGAAACTGAGGAGAACGAAAAGGGTCCACTGGAGAATTTTTCCATTTACTCTGGGTTTGCTTCCTTTACTGTGGATGCATCATTTTTAACATAATTACACTCGACTGTAGCAGATGCCTGTTTTTCCATGGACAAAATGGATAGTTTAAGCTAATTTTATTCTGAGATGATCCTGCTCATTATCTATGCTCTACTTAAGAGGCTATAGAAGGACTGTTTTAAATATTAAAATAACAACAGACTTCTTATTCAACTTTGTCAAAGCATTTTAAAGGAAGAAGACCTAGGAGGAGCAAGATGCACGAGTAGAAAGATACCCTTACACAAAGTCACCCACAGGAGCATCCTTAAAGACCTGAATACAGGAAAAGCCCGGGTTTGAACAAGGCTGCACCAGCTCCAAGCAGAGGCAGGTTCTCAGAATTCTCCTCATCTCCATGCAAACATCAGGCAGCAGAAATGAGATATTGTTCAGAAATCAAACGCAAAGGTATTTTCAATTTTGAGCTCTCCTTCCTTCCCGAACAGAGCGATCGTGTTGCAAAAGTTTTGTAAAGATTGCAATAGCGATGCACTTAAAAGAATTACTCAGAAATGATTTTCATATTAATCACCATCAAACAAGCGTTATTCAGAGTATGGCATCAGTAAACTACAGCTCAATCCAGAAGACCTTGAAAGTTTTATTTCACATGCAGTTTGTTCTGCACATAACCTCTGCACACAGTCATCCGTGGCAGTAAACTGACTTTACAAAGATGTTGGATTCCTGATATGAGGATGAAGCAAGATTTGTGAAATCAGTACAGTGACTCAGTGAGCTCAAAGGCAAGGCTTTTAAAGCTCATCCAGTGACTTTTTTTTTATACATCCAAAACCCAGGCAAATTTCAACAGAATTCAAGACATTTCCAGAAATATGAGGGAGCAGGTAAACCTCCACGATTAAATTTAGGAAATGTAATTTGAGGGAGACACAAAAAAAAAGCGATCTGGGGATCCTAAAGGGAGCAGAAAAAAAAACCAAAAAAACCCAACAGAAAAACAAGACAGAAACATTGCCATGTGCTAAACACATGACCCAAAGCACAAAGTCAACATTTCAGCCGCTCTGTTAAACCTCTTCACAAACCAGGCTAAAGATGACAAATATGACCCCTTGCTCTTTGAAACCCCACGGCTGAATTGAGCAACCGCCGGCAGGCGGCACGGCCTGGCACCAGCCCGCTCCTGCACGGCTGCAAAACGAGGCACCGAGGCGGGTGATCCCGGCTGGCATTTAGCGGCCGCTCCGTCACCACCTGCCTGGGGTCTTCTCCAAAGCTCCCACCCTTGCAGCACGTCCTGTCTTGAAGACGTCCCCAGCTGACAGCCACCCCTAGGTACCTGGCTGAAGAGCCAGCACACCCTCACCTAAAAGCCCAAGTAAATTCCCAAGTGGCTTAGCAAAGAGGTGTTTGCGAGGTACTCGTCTTCAATAAATAGAAACATTAAGGCTGAAGGCAGAGAGCATTACACCACACTAGCTCGGTTTTCAGTCTAATTTGCTTCCTGCAGTTTCTCCAAGTCCAAGTGACAAACTGAAGTCAAATTAGCACTTAGTGTTAGGGACGGGGCTGGGAAGCTGGCTTTAAGCAGCAGTTGCAGGACAAAAGCAATGCACTCGGTTATTCTGAGCACGTACCGATGCCTTTGATGAGGCGGCAGTTCGGGAGGGTTACTGGGGCTACCTCCCGCGAAGCGTTGAGTCTGTTCCTGCAAGAGGAAAGCACAGGGTTAACAGCACACGGCCAGATTTAAAACAGGTAACATTCCTGGCACAGCTTCGTCTTAGTTTTATTGCCTACCATATCGCAGAAACAAATCAACCACAAAACGCTGACTAAGCAAAACCCAGAACTGACAACGGCAATTGCTTCACATCACCGCCATGGTTACACACGTGCAGGGATTCAGCGATTCTCCCACACCAAACAACTTCAGGAACTTGGCTTTGTCCGTGAAGCTTTCACGACCCACTGCAGCTCCAGCGATCAAATCACGCAGCCACATTTTCTTCAGCTTCCAGCCGCTTAAATACAGTAGCACCCCGCGGTTAGGACCAGCGTTTCAGATGAGGAGAGGGCGACCTTCTACCCCAACCATGGGCTATTTCTGGTGAGCAGGCTTTCTTCACTTCTCAGCCCACATTCCAAGGCAGCGATGGCATTATTGCAAGGCAGGGCTACCCCTTTCCCAACAACAGGTAGGACCTGGTAGTACAATTTTCAGCAATTACCCTGTCTCTTCCTCTTCTCCTCTGGTACCCACCCAGGGCATTACCTTTCGGCAGTGCTTATTTCACTCCCAAATGCCCACAGAATTTGGTTTCTGGTTCATGCTTCACTAGACAAGCAGGTATGGACAGGCAACCACACAAGTTGCTATTTCATCATCTCCTCCATTCTAAGTTGTCTACACACCTATAGGAAAGGCACCTCACTACCAAGACTGGTGTGTCTGGCCGTGCTGGTCCAGGGTGCCCAAAGAAAATATGTTGCATTTCCATGTAAAAATGTCAAGCTATCACACTTTCTTTCCTCCAAAAGAAAGTATTTAAGCTAACACAATTACTCCTTTGCATGCCTGTCATAGACAATGTTGAGGCTGTGCTTGCTCCAAGCACAGGAAATTCTGAATGCAAAGATCCCATAGCAAAACCCAGCCATGTTTATGTTATAAACATGAACTAAACAGCAGTATCAGCCTGTGGTATGAGAAGTATGTGATGCAGCTGAGCCCTGCATGGCATGCCAGCCCCGCATTATTTTTTTTAATCACTTAATTATGAATTATAACTTGCTTCAATGCTGTATCGACATAGGTTGTTAACATAAGACTGGCAAAAAAAAAAAAAAGAAGAAGAAAAAAGCTGAAAAGGGTAGAGGACTGCAAAGGAAAGGAGCCAAATTACACTCTCCCAAGCCCTCTCCCCCAGCTCAGGAGTCCTGACACAGAATTACGCTGGCTCCCAGCCCACAAGCAGCACCAGAGGGGCACAAGCTTGCCCCTCACCCGCCAGCATCCCGGCACCAAAGAAGCCACCGGGGTCAGCCCGGGGCGATCACGCCCAAAATTTGCACAGGGTGAAGTCTGCACTGCTGCCTGCTTAGGGCTTTTCCTTTTCCTATTTGCATCAGCTTTTCCCAGGCAGACCACAAAGCCACCTAGCGCCAAAAGCAGGGCGGGAGCTCAGCCAGCAGCCAGCGAGGGGTGATGATATCCCGACAGCATTCCCAGGGAAACACTTCACGGGCTGGAATGAGAGTAATTCAAAAGGACACTGCTCACAAGCCTGCAGCATATAGACGGGCTTTTCCAAAACGTGTCAGTTTATCTAGCTCAGCCAGCCTCAGCTGCTCAGCCAGATGGCCTAGATAACTAACTGGCCGTACTAAAAACACAGTGGGCCTGCAAACTGCAGAGATGTAAATGCAAAAAAAACCCCAAAACCCAAAAGAATAGGAATTTTTGCTTCTTGGTGCAGCCCCAGTGTGTGGCACGTCTTCCCACCAGGCTCAGCTTCCCAGTTTCAGTCCTCCACCCACTGACATTCCCTTTCCTTCAGCACCGACCTGTTGCATATTCAGAGACATCTCTCTCTTTCAATTTTCATCTTCTCTAGACTAACCAGTCCCAGATCTTTCATTTGTTTTGAGCTTGGTTGTTTGGGTTTGGTTTTTTTTTTGCCCTGACAGGATTGAAAATCACCTCTTATTTTTCTCTTTGCTCCCGGTTCTTTTCAAACTGTCAGCACCCTTCTGGAAGCACACTGCTGTTTTGAACACAGGATGCAAGCTGGGTGCTGTATCAGTACAGAGTGTTACGAAATATTGTGTATGTGTGTATATATGAATAATAATATCATACCCATACTGTTCCAAGGAAAACAGTAAACACAGTATATTTCACATTTGAGTTTTACAAATCAGCTCAGACTCTTCAGAGAAGAATTAGCGATTTAAAATGTCAGTAGGGGAATCGGTGTAATTTCAGCTGGTAACACACCAGAACTCCACCTGTTTCCTGCTGCCCAACTCAAGTCCATTTGGTAGCCACCAGCAGTATAACAGATGCACAAACAAACCTGATTTAAGAAGACTTATGTTAGTAAGAGATTTAATATAATTTTTCATTTCCCAGTTCTGCCATCCCGGCTCATGCAGCTGGCAGGGCAGGAGGGCTCTGGGACCACCGGGGTTATCCCTAACGCCCGCGGCAGATTTTGTGTAAGACGTCTAAGCGAGGTACCTGGGTCCAGGGAGGACAGCCCTCCTTCTCTAAGTAGCTACAATTAACTGTCTACCCAAAGATCAATTAGCTGGATGTCGTTGCTTTAAAGTCAGGCATCTGGAATCCTTAAGGACTTGACCAAAATTATAACGACTTAGCTGCCTTGCAACACAGCAGCTCACCATCGCTCCTCCATCCTGAAACAAGGAGTTAAGCATTGAATAACTTTGTGGACAGAAGCTGCTCTAACACGGGTGTTCACATCCAGCCCTCCTGGTCCGAGGTGCGGAGCGCGACGTGGCTGGTGTTTTAGGGGACACGGTCACACAAATCTGGGCTCCTGCAGGTGAAACCCCAGAGGTCAGCTCCAGCAGAAAACGGCACACGGTGCTGAGAACCCGATTTCCACTGGCTGGGAGCAG